AATATTTATTTCTATTGAGGTAAAAGTCATATAACAAGCCCTGGCTGGTGTGGCTCAGTGGACTGAGTGCCGACCTGCAAACCAAAGGGTTGCTGGTTCGATTCCCAGTCAGGACACATGCTTGGGTTGCAGGCCAGGTCCCCAGTAGGGGACGGGGAAAAGGCAACTACACAATGATGTTTCTTTCCCTCTCTTTCTCCCTCCCTTCCCCTCTGTCTAAAAATAAATAAATAAAATCTTTTAAAAAATTTAAAAAGTCACATAACAAAATTAACCATTCACAATTAATAATTTATGAACAATTCAGTGGCATTTAGTACATTCACAATGTTGTGTAATCATCACCTTTATCTAGTTCCAAAACGTTTTCATCATCACCAAAGAGACCCTCTATCCATTAAGCAGTTACTCACCATTCCCCACCTTCCCCAGTCCCTGGAAACCATTTATCTGCTTCTTGTCTCTATGGATTTATCTATTCTGAATATTTCAAATAAATGGACTCAAATAATATGTGACATTTTGTGTCTCTTCTTTCACTTAGCGTAATGTTTTCAAGGTTCATCCATGTTGCAGCATCATCAGCCCTTACTCCTTTTTTATGGCTGAATAATATTCCATTGTATGAATAGACCATGTTTTATTTATCCACTCATCTGTTGATGGACATTTGAGTTGTTTCTACTTTTTTGGCTGTCATGAACAGTTCTGCTATGAACGTTCATGTACAAGTATTTTTTTGAATTGTATGTCAGGGAAATTAGTTTGTTTTTATAGATCAGGGAAATTAGTCCGTGGTCTATGATATGTGTTGCAAATACTGTGTTTCAGTTTGACATTTGTCTTTGAGTTGGCTTATGGTGGCTTTTGCCAGGCAGAGTTTTGAAAAAATTGTTATGTAATTGAATCTGTCAGGTGGGTTTTGTAATGTAGTTAGTAAGGCCATCCTTATACTTGAGGTTATAAAATAATTCTCCCATCAAAGCCTCCACTTATCCACTCATTTCCTTATCAGTCAAACAGGGATTAAAAACAGCTCCACTTGTCCCTCGGGGTTATTATGGGTACCAAATAAGAGAAATGATATGAAAGGGCTTTTAAAATATAAAGCAATATATACACAAAAGGCATGTTGTCATCATCACTATTAATTGTATCAAATTCTGGCACTAACTAGCTGAGCTCTGTTTTTGCTTTCATTTTGCAGAGCAGAGATTGAAGGGCAGAATTATTCACTGAGCTGGCCAAAGATACTTTAGTCTGTAGCAATAGGGAGAATGTCACAAAAGATCTCAAGTCTTATTAGTCATCTTAGGAGTGTTTCATATTTGACCAGAAAAATAAAATTGCCTTAAACCAAAAACTATTCTGGTCACTCTTCTTTCAAGTAGTCTTCTTTTCTTCTTCTCCCAGTAAAAGGAACCAGTTCAGTGACTTTTGTGTCATTCAGCTGTTCTTATAATTTAAACCTCATCAATGGCCATTTATGACATGCTTTCCTTGTGTTTTTAACCCCAAATTCTTTTTTTAAAATAGCAAACTTTAGGTTGAATACTAGTGATTGAAAAAATAATATTTGACAGCAATTATTTGTATGACGATGGCTCTGGGATAGAATCGTGTAATGGTTAAGTCCTTGGGCTCTGATGTTGGTCAGATCTGGGCTTGAAGGTGATTCATTTAGTGTCTAGACATGTGACTTTGGGCAGATTGCTTTACAGCTCTGTGCCTCTGTTTCCCCACCTGTAAAACAAGGTTGATTACACCACCAGACTGATTAGGTTGCAGTAGAAGTCAGTAATGAAACCTATATAAAGTGCTTGGCCCAGTGCCTTTAGACAACAAAGGCTCGATACATACTTGCTATTAGTAGAATACAGGAATATTTAAGAGAATTCAGGAAAGGAGCCCAAGAAGAATGGAATATACCCTTCCAGGGAGTATTCCTATCCTGCGGGGTTGGCACAGATCAGTGATAGAGCCCCTTTTCCTGCTGCATACTGCATTTATTTGGGGGAGAAATCTGGTTTCTGTTGCTGTCAGGGAGGGTGAACATCAGGAATAGCAGTTGGTTCTCATAGAGCAAGGAAGAACTGGCCTCATGGAAGGGAGTGCCACAGAAGGACAGCCAGGGGACAGGTGAGCTGAGGAGAGGACTGGAAGGAAAAAGGTGAGGACATTGTGCCAGAGGGCCGGCCCAGGTCACATCACGTTTGAGGGGACAGAAGAGTCTGTTTAATAAGATTCAGGGTATTCAGAGGTGTATTTGCGAGGGGCACAACCCTTTTCTTCTTTCTTCCTTTTTCCCTCTCTCCTTCCTTCCTGCTTTTAGCCTAGGCATCTGTGGGGACCCCGACTCTTGTCCCAGGTCTAGCATGGTTGAGCCCCAGAAAAGAAATAACATCTGTGGGGCTTCTGCTATATACCAGGGACTTTAAAACTCCAGTCACATTAGATCCTCTGCAATGAGTAAGATCACCACACTCTATAGATGAGGAAATTGAGGCTCAGAGAAGGTTGAGAAGCTGCCGTAGGCCCCTTACAAGATGGTAAGTGGCAGATCCAGAATTGAAATCACCATTTGTCTTACGCGAGAATCTAGCCTCTCCTGCCCTTTAGCACATAGCTCTATACCATACTTTGCTTCAATTGCATATGGATTTTTGTGACATTCCTGTGGCTCAGTTCCTACATGTGGGTCTCCCAGAAATATTTATGGATTTAAAATCTTAGTAATGAAGAGGATAGCTGACATTTACTTGTGCCTGCCTCAAGTGGGTAACAAGCAGGTTACCGTAAGTCACTTGCTTCAGTTCTCAGAGCTAGTCAGTGGCAGAGCCAGGCAAGATATCCAGGCCGTCACATACCAGGGTGTGCAGTGCTACCTCCCATTTTTCTTTGAGAGTCAAGGCTTGAGGCAGGGATGCTAATCTCGGAGCACGTCTTTCTCAGCTGACATGTGTGGCGTTCTCTGTTTTAAACTAGTCCAAAGGGGAACTGAAGAGGGCCTGAGTATGCCCATAGGATGGGTGAGGCAGGGGGCTGATGGCAATGGCTGTGGGCCAGTTGCGACTTAGGACCTTTGCGACTTCCTGTCTGCAGACACGAAGCTGGAGTAAGCCCGTGATTCTCCCAGCTGGACTTCTCCAAGCAGATCCTGTGCATTCCTATCTGGAGACCTTAGCTTGTACTGTTTGCTTCATAGGTATGCCCTGCTGCCCCCACCCTCCTCGCCATGCGTATCTGGGGAGACCAATGACAACTGCCATCTTCTCTAGGAAGCCTCAATGGATTGGCGTGGATAATCTATTCATTTCTAAACTCAAGTTAAGTCATTTATTACACATTCAGAAAAGGCAAATGGAAGACTATTTTTGAGAAATTTGTGAAAATACCATACTCAGGGGATAATACATGTTAATGATAATTTTAATACATGGAATTCCAGTGGTCGGTGACCCTATATAGTGCTTGATTTCATTTTTCAATCTTATTACCCCTTAATGGCATGTGAAATGGCTCTAGTAGAATGCAGAACACTTTGCGCATTTGCATGGGCAGAATCTGGTGTCAGATGCCTAGATTTGAATGCTGGGGACTTTGGGTAAGTCACTTTCCATATCTGTGCCTCTGTTCCTTCAGCCGTTAAAGAGGAAACTTACATTATATTGTTAGGTTGCTGGGGGGATATCATGGGGTAATAATAATTGTTATCATTTATTGAGTACTTCCTATATGCTAGGCACTGTGCTAAGCTTGGCTTTACATTCTTATTCAATCCCCCTAAGAACTCCTTCATTTCTGACGCCCCCTACCCTGCAATATTTTCTTCCCCATACACTTACCATCTTCTACATTATATAATTATCTCATTAAAAAAAAATTCACCTGCCTCTCCCAGGGCCTCTTGCCCTGCACAACTCCAGGAGGCACCAATCACAATGCATTGTGAGCTCTGCTCTGACCTGCTTTTACTGAGAACATTAATGTGGTGACTTACATTAATGTTCTCAGTAATGTGATATGGAGACCCTGGGGCTCCAGGAGGGCAGGGGTTTTCTTTTTTTCTTCCTATTTTGATCATTGCTGTATCCCTGTACCCAGAACGATGCCTGACCAATAGTAGATATGCAGTAAATATTTGTTGAGAGAAAGAATTAAAAAGCCCCCAGAGAGAGCCCATTTTACTGTTCAGAAAACTGAGGTGCAATGAGTTATTAATTTGCCCAAAGCCCAGTGAGACACTGAGGCAGCTGGGTGTTTCCAGCATGCCTGCTCTCAATGGCTTTACAAAGCTGCCTGTCTGAAACACCTGGTATTGTCCCTGCTACCCGCAAATGCTCAACAAATATTAATGAGCTTGCCTGCATGGGTCAGCTCCTTACCCTGCGAGACAATCTTCACAGAGTGACAAATTGTCACATAGCTGTTGCTTTGAGATTTGGATTAAATTGCACGGTGCAAAGAAAAGGTGGACCTTTCAGAGACTTTGGGAGAAAATTCCTTAGTCCAACTGCTAATGGTAGGAGTTTGCAGGGGCCTCTCCCGCCTTCCTAGCCCCATTCTTTTTCCTGCTGCCTTCCCTTTTGTGAGCGTCTCTTCCCCTTTTTGCTTGCAGTGAATTCTGTTCTCCTGTAGGCTACAATGTGTCAGTTGTTATAAAATCTGGGAGGTGGAGCTTAGTGACGAGGCTGAGGGTGGTGGGGGAGCGCTCAGCCAGCCCTGCAGGGCGAGCAGTCCAACACCGGGTTCATCCGAGCTTAAGCCTTGCAGCAGAACTTCCTTCTCGCTCTCCTGGCTTTGATCCTCACTGAACACCAGACCAGAAGCCCCGAAGGGAGGGAGGATGCGAGATGACCGGCCCTTTGGCAACCTGACCATCTCCTTAGCCGAGCCTTGGAAAGCAAGCCAGGGCTGACTGCTCGACCAAAGAAGCACCGCGTCTCTTGTGGAAGTGTGTGTGTGTGTGTGTGTGTGTGTGTGTGTGTATGCGCGCGCGTGTGTGCGTGTGTGTGTGTGTGAACGGGTGTGAGTGAGTGAGGGTGTGTGTGCATTGTGACTGTGTGTGTGCGTGTCCAGATGAGTGTACGAGTGCGCGCGGGAGTGCGTGTGTTGTGTATGTGAGTGAGTGTTGTTGGTTACTATTTTTTAGAAGAAAAACCTTGAAAATCTGGGGCAGGTTACTGTGCTCCTAGGGTGGTGGTTCTTTTTTTGCAAGAGGAGCTGACCAGACCTAGCTACTAGAGACATTTTTCGGCAAGTAAAGAAAATTTTCCTTCCTGAAGGAGAGGGATTTTTCCCTTGGCTCTGCAGACAAGTAAAAGAGATTAGCCCCTAAACCTGTGAAATCGACCAGAGCCGTGTGATTACCAGGGCTTGAGAGAGAATACGGGAAGAAAAGGAGAAATAAATTAGCTTGTCAGTGCCTTTGGCCACGTTGGAAGATGTCATCTCAAACTAAGTTCAAGAAAGACAAAGAGATCATTGCTGAATATGAAGCCCAAATAAAAGGTGAGATGCGGGCTGGGGAGTCATGCCTCCCCTCCCCTTTCCTTATTCCCTTGCTTTGGCTTTTTCCCCCTTTTCCTCCCTGCCATTCTGAAATGTTGTTATGCATCAATAATCTTATTGTGAGGAGGAACGGTGGCAGCCGTACAAGTCCAGACTGGTTTCAACTGCAGAGAGCGCTGGTGTTGGGTGTATGGATTATAGAGCAGCAGCGATCACTGCATTGCAGGTGTGCGAGGATGATCCGACCCTGGCTTTAGGAGTGTCTTGGATACTCCATCATCTTGGCTGTGACATGTCACTCTAAGGCCATTTTGACAGTCACCTCCCCCCACAAAGTCCCTTAATATTATGCCTATCTTTTATGGTCTGCTACATTTTTTCTTTCTCCTTTATGTTGTTGCTTTGCCTCTGCCCCTTTCTCTAGGCTGGAATTCACATGCATGTGCACAGGGAGGCGGCACTGCTTTGTCGGTGTCCCTTGGCTGGCTTGGGTTGTCATGGATTAACTGTTATGGGCCATATTGATCCAAACTAATGCAGGCATTTAAGTATAAAAAGGGAGCTCAGTGCAGAAAATGTATTCTCTTGCAGTGTGCAACCCCAATCACCTTCCGTGTACTAGCGTTTAGGGTCATCAGCTTTCATTCAAAGCCAACATCTCAGTGCGCCGTGTCGACTGGTAGGCACTGCCTGGCTTCCGTGGTGCCAGGGGAAGCCAGCCAGGAGGGTGAGATGACCTCTGGCTGTGTGTTCTAGCTTTGGTGCCACTGGATGCACACCTCTCTCAGAAACCTCTCCCTAAATCCACACTAGCAAGGCGAAATAGGACACTGGACACAATCGCATAGACAAATGCAGCCAGAACCTTCCTTCAGGGCAGGCTTCTCCCACCCTCACGACTTCCAGGCTCAGCTTTTGGCAAGGAAAAACCTAAAAGCTTTCTCTGAGGATATACCCTAAGGGAAGCCGGGGCCTTTGCCTCTCAGGGTCTGTTTTCTTTCTGGTCACGGTTCTTGCTGCGACACAGGGTGTGTTGTGGCCTCTCGTAGAAAGAGTAGAGACAGAATGCGTCTTCAGTGAACGTCGATGCCTCCCTTTGAGGTAATGAGCGGCCTATTGAGCAAGTTGGTTATTTGGGATCAGATCTGCGGTTGCCACACCTGCTTCTAGGTGCTGCTGTAGCTCAAGACTCAGTGACCCAGGAAGGCGGGTTGCCTCCACCGGAGCGGCAGGAGGCTGGGCGGGCGGTCACAGCTGCTGTACACGCTTCAGATGCTTGGGAAACTTTGAGAGGGGAGCAGCCATCAGGGGAGAGCTTTGGTTTTTGTCCAGTTTTGCCAACCGTCTTGTGTCTTTTACTTCTGGTCAAAGCCCTCATGCTAATCACCTCTGGGCAGACCCCAGGTTGAAATATGCAGAAAGCCCTCTGGTCTTCTCCTCTTTAGTTTTCAGTTCAGTGTAGAAAACAGTGACCCATGATGTTTCAGCCTTGCTGAAAATTTAGAATCAAGCCCTTTATTGGTCAGAGATTTGAATTCACCTGACTGCTCAAATACAAAAGCCCAGTTTGTCTTTGCAAATATTCTTTCAGAGAGTTTATGGTTTACAAGACTAATGTGGCTGGTTTAAAAAAAAAGAAAAAAAGCTGAGGTTCCCATAAAAAAAATGCCATAATAGAGAAGGGGATGCCGAGTTTTGGATACACTGGGGTTTTATAAGCATTGTCTTGGTAGGAAATGTGCTGATCCTTGAAGGTTTGCTACCACTGGGCCCATGAACTTTGCTTGAAGATCTATTAAGCATTTATTGCTCTGGCTGATTCTTTTACTTTGTACCTTTCACCTTTATTTTAACAACTAATTAGCAAGTACAAGGTAATGCATTTCAGCAGGAAATTTGCCCAAATGATCTTGTCTCTTCCAGACTCTAAATGTCTCTGCATTCTAGTTCCAGGAATTTAATTTTATTCTTTTAGCGTTAACACCCACACAATTAAGGTCAGGATGCTGTTGTGCTCAAAACCACCTGGAATCTTTTCTTTGAAAATTCTGTGTTCATCATCATTATAATTACTGTGTGTTCAGGGCTCTATAGTTTCTGTGGCTCACTCCCAGACATCACTGCTCTTGGTCTACACAAGGTACTGAAAGGGTTCGCATGAACTCGGTTTTAAAGATGAGGAAATTGAGGCTTCATAATGTTAAACGACTAGCCCAAGGTCACAAGACTGGAAATGTGAAGGCAGAGGCTTTTCTGCCAGGGCAAGTGTTCCCTGATACATTGTTTGCCTGCAGCTGCCCCTGGAAGGATTGATGTCAGCAGCAGATGGCAGTTCTGTGGTGGGGCTGGCTGCCTCTTGATGGCATTCCATTGTTTGCCCTCTTTCTTTGATCCCTTGCTTTTGTTGCTTCTGTCTGAAGAATGTTTGACCAATCACCAAAAATAATGCTTGATGCCAATTACCTTTCTCCCTGGGTAGCATTTGGCCAATTTGGTGCAAACACTCCGCCTACTTAGATTTTGTTCTCTGTGAATTCTGTGAGGGGAACTTTTGATTTTTTAAAAATGATACTGAGTTCTTTGTAGACATACATTCTTTTATTTCTTTTTTAAGAATTTATTGACCTAACAAAGGGGAATGTCTTACAGCAATTTTTTTTCCTCTTGTAAAAAATTTCAGACTCATGCCTTCTGTTGCCTCATCAGATACTTGAAGTCCTTTGATTAATGACTTTGATTAAGGACCTGCAATGCAGTAGTGTACCATATGCATGCTCGTTTTCAGTGATGGGGGACTCACCACCTTCAAAGCCCACATACTTTATTTTTGGACAGCTCTGGCTGTTGTAAATTGTTTTTATGTTGGATTCAATAAGTCTCTCATCCACCTATTGATTCTATAGTATCTCCCTCTTGGGACTTCATAGAACAAGGCAGGTACTTTTTCCCATGACTGCCATTGAATGTTTAGAGACTCTGATCATAGCCTCTAGACTATGATCATTCTCATTTGCTGATATGCCATTGTCCACTGCTGCTTATCTTTTACTCTCCTTTGGATCTACTGCATCCTGGGTTGCAAACTCCAGTGCCTTTGGGTGGTGGTCAGGTAGAATAAATGAGTAACGATGGCCAAGTAAGGTGATTTGTGGCAGCTGGTCCACTACCTCAGCAAGGGCAATATAAGAAGGAGTGGTTAGGATGGGCCTGAGAGCACATGTCCTGTACGAATGAGCCATCACTACCTGGATTCAACCAGCCGTTACCATTTAGAAATGTCGGCCCAGCAGATCTTTCAATTTCTCAACAGAGGCCAGAAATCTGGGCAAGAGTTTTATGCTTTTAAAGAGGTTTTGCTAGATAGACCTCCAAAAGATGACACTATCAAATGCCTCTTTAAGAGTAGTACTGAGTTTTAAATGAGATCCTCCAGATGTGGTCAGAGAAGGAAAACAGCTATCAACTCTCTTATGCTGTATGTAATGCTTTTGTTAATAGAGTCCAAGGGTTGAATTAGCCCTTTTGACTGCCCATTCCCTCATCGTACCCTGTGTATTGGTATCTGCTGGATTTCTCCAATCCACTAGGCTAGGATCCTTGTCAGAAAGAAGGCAAATGAAATAAATTTAAAATGACTTCTTCTCAGTGACCCTGTGCTGGCTCCAAATGGACAGGCCTTCCTGTCTGAGGAACTCACAAGTGTTCCTTTACAAATCTGTTCAAGAACTTTGCCCGAGAGTGACATCATATTCTCGAGTCGGGAACTGGCAAGCTGTAACTTCTATCCCCTTTTGAAATTAGAACAACATTTGCCCATCTACAGCTTTTTGGCACCTATCCTATTTTTCACAATTCCCTCAAAGACCACTGATAGCGTTTGGTAATCTTATTTGCAGGCGTTCTCAGTATCCTCGGCTCTAATTCATCTTGCTGTCAGACATAATGGTCTGTTGTACATTTATTCAGAGTTCCCATTTCCATTTCACCCTAATGGAAAATTGAAAAAGAAATGCAGTGATTGACTTCAGTGTTTTTGTTTTTTTTTTATTACATGCCTCTAATCATTTTAGTCTATCTTCATAATAAAAGTCTATAATTTGGGGGAAGAAAAGCAGGTATGGAAGAAAATCACAGCGAATGCATTCACTCAATAAACACTGAGTATCTGCTTTGTTCTTAGTCTCGTGCTGGGCATTGTGAGGGACGCAAAGTATATCATACATTCTTGGCTTTCTAAGAGTTTTCTTGGAATATGGTGATAAAATCCATGAAGGAGAAAAACAAAACAAAACACAAAACACTTTCAACTGAGCACCAAATGAATTCATCCTTAAAGAGATTATGCCATAGAGTGATTGAATGTTCTTAGGAACCCTCATTGCCTTCAACAGGATTCAGTGAGGAATGCAGGCTGGGTTGGTGAAGCAATGGGGAGTGATAGGAACTGTGGCTGATTAGTTAGCTCACCTAGAGGAGGCAGCCATTGCTCAGCCTCAGTCTGTCATTGCCGTGAAATGGGAGCCCAGAGTGGTTAGTTATTTCAGTGTTTCAAGGGAATCTGGATTTTAAAATAAAATTGCTGGATTTCTATTTTTAAACTTTCTTATTAATATTAAATATTAAAAAAATTATTTAGTTCTAAGTGTTCTGTATGTATTCTAGATACAAGACCCTTATCAGATATATGCTTTGCAAACATTTTCCCCCATTCTTTGAGTTGTCTTTTCTTTTTTCCAAAGGTGTCTTTTGAAGCACCAAAGTTTTTAATCTTTATGACGTTCAGAGTATCCGTTTTCCTATTTCTCCCCATGCTTTTCATGTCGTATCTAAGAATTCTTTGCCAAATCCAAGGCCATGAAGACAAACTCCTGATTTTTAAATGGTAGCTCAGGTTAAAAAAAAATTGCTACAATGTCTGAACAAACCTGTCAGTTGGACAGTTTCAGTTCATGGCTTTGCAACTTCGGCCTGCAAGGTGAAGTCCATAAAAAGTCTTGGTG